TTCAAGAGTGTTTCAATAAGATTATAGCTTCCAACACAATCGAACTAAAGTAAATTTGTAAAAACTAAACTATTTGAACATTTATTAACTTGATAAAATTGGACTTGAAATAGTATATGTTTATGAAATTTTAGAATAAATGTATTATTACTTTACAAGATAAGAATATTTTACAGTTGATCCAGACTTTGATTTTGATCCAAAAGAAGTTAAAACAGTTCGATTTTTCTCATCTTTTAATGTTTTATAAATGTTTGGATTTTTTTTTTGAAATCGGGGTAAAAAAGATGTTATTTTGGTAAAAATTACCGGTGTTTAATAAATAAAGAATATTGAATGTGTGTAGGTTTAATACTAAATTAATTAAACAAGTTGAGTAATAGAAAGAGCATCGAAACGCGAGGCTATCTGATTTGTACGAGGGGGTGTAGCTCCCGAGTATAAATCAGATTGCCGAGTGTTTTGATGTTCTTTCTCTTTTGTATCATAATCAAACATTAAAATACGTCCCCTGATACTACAATATGAAACCCCACAAAAAAAGTAACTAATGAAGGAGCATCTGAATATGATATTTCCATCGCTATCCCTTTCTCTGTCCCGATCAATGGGCATGCTCTGGAGTGCGGGTAACTAATACCTGCACTCTAGTTAACGCACATTGCATGTATATGTATACGATTTAACTCTGTCACATTTTCAACAGAAAGGTCCCAAACTATGATACAAACAAAACATATTATGCAAATTTTACGTTGTGTATAATATTGTTTTATTCAACAAGTTCAATAAATTTATTATTAATTTATTATTAAGTTTACAAAAGTCATGAATATAATATTCTATTTATCATATATCTAAAATTTAAAAAATTCAGTTAAGCAATAGAAAGAGCATCGAAACACGAGGCTATCTGATTTGTACGAGGGGGCGTAGCCCCCGAGTATAAATCAGATTGCCGAGTGTTTTGGTGTTCTTTCTCTTTTGTATCATAGTCAAACATAAAAACACGTTCCCTGTTGCCAGGATATGAAACCCCAGAAAAAAGAGACGAACGAGCATTTCAATAAGATTTTTTGCCGCTTTCCCTTTCTCTGCCGCCACAATAAGTAAACCCAAGCAAAAATGAGCCAATCAATGGGCATTATCCGGAGTGCGGGTCACTGATACCTGCACTCCAGTTACCGCACTGTGCATGCATATGTATACGATTTAACTCTGACACTTTTTCAACAGAAAGGTCCCCAAACTATGATACAACATTTTTAAAAAGCCATTTTCATTGATGTGCGTATAGTGTAATGCTAACATTAGTCATGGACAGTGACACCAAAATGTAATACATAATTTGGCGTACTAAGGCAATAGGCAGTGTTTTAATAATTAATACAAAAACAAAGACATAACCCTCAAAGATACTGTTAAAATGGAACACCAGCATAAACTACATATTGACATGAAATACGTTTTAAATTATAAATAAAAGATAAAAATAACAAAGTGTAGTTTACAAAATTTATAAAGTATTTTAGAATTCATGCCGTCACGATAAATTGTACCAAGCTTATACATCCATGAAGTTTCTTTTAAATAATCTTTTCAAATTATTCTTCACTTTATAAATTGGCATGGAAGAAATATCTTTAATAGAATGCCGTCCAGAATTGAAATGTTCAGATACATTCGTAATAGTGTCAGGAAAATGTTTAACATCAAATTTATGACTATTCATTCTTAAGCTACATTTTTGCCGAGGTTATAAGGTTATTTAAAATAAAAATATTTCAATAGAATTAGCTTCCTGTATACCCTTTAATAAAGACCCTCAAATATAGTGTTATCAGTCTGCACTTCTTCTTTATTTCTCATAATTTTACATGCTTCACGCCCATGTGTGGAATGCAAGTGATTGTAATAATAAATATCTTTGAAATCTGTTTGCGGAAATTTGAAATTTGCTTTTGAGGTATTCACTAAAGTGGGTTGGGTTAGATTTTCTTAATGTTTTCCTGTTTATTGTTTACACTTGATTCTGTTTTAAAGTTTAAGCTGACTTAAATTACTTTTTAAATCACTTAAAGTAGCTCTGAACATTTTAACCAAATTAGCAGATTTCTCTTCATTGTGTCCATAAATAACTGTTTTTTTGTTCTATTGACATGTAATTAGTATAGAAGCTGTCTTTATCAGATTCTGCAAATTTTTTAAACAACAGCAAGATATATCTTGACCAAGCAGTACTGGAATGATCCTTAGTAACCCTCTACAAAAGTTAAGTTTGATGCTTATGTAGGTTTTAGATTTAAAAATGAAATCTTATATATATTTTCTCTCCTCAAAAACTACAAGACACAGAGCTTAGATATTTGGGATGTAGCATCACCTTGTGGTTTTCTACTATAGTAATACAAATTATGACTGGGGTAATAAATTTGGCCTGAATCAAAGGTTCGCTTATATATATATATATATATATATATATATATATATATATATATATATATATATATATATATATATATATATATATATATATATTCACACATATCTTCACTTACGGGGCCTATTTATAAGACCGAGTTGAGTGGCATTATTTCATGCAGTCAGTTTTTATATATGCCACTATGTAGGCATATAATGACATTTCCAAACAACAGAACTAAGGCGTACTAAGTTATATATATCAACTATATATTTAATTTTACCATAGGTGAAAACATATTGACCAATAACATAAAACCCCATTAAAAATATATACATTTGTGGGACATATATCATTTACTACTAAAACCGGCCTACGGGCACTATGTTAGAAGGGTAGCCTACGCCCCCATACATCGTTTTAAACATGCCAGAGTTGCGAGGCCTTATGTATGCCCCACATTAAATATAAACCCCACAGGTATGGTCTCAAATAGACCGATGCCCCGTAAATGTATATATAGACCTTTCCTATACTTCAGTTTCATAGGATATTTATGACATTTATATATAATCTATATACAGGGCTGTTGTTAATTTATGAAGTAATTTCATTTATCTTCTTTAATAACAGGAAGTTTGTTGTATTAAAAATTTGTTATAAAGATTGTAGCTATATAAATAATGTCCTTGGGTAAAATTAGCCCCACCACAGGGGTCACTTAGTTTACATAGAAAAACACATTTAAATCCTCTTGACTCTCAAGCTTTGATATTTGGCATGTAGCCTTTTGGACCTCTTTGAAAGATGTTTGTTGGATGCTTTTGGGTCACTAAATGTTTACACAGACTTGTATAAAAATTTGTATTTTGAAACTACTATGCCCATAGCAGAGACATTTGGCATGAAGCATAATACCTTATCGGTCTTAAAAAGTTATAATAAATAATGCCCCTGGGTTATAAATAATGCCCCTGGGTTATAACTTGTCTGCTTCTGGGGTCACAATTGTGACTCTATCAAGGGCAGTCTTGTGCCCACTTGTTGTTTTATTTGTTGTTGGTGTTGTTGTTGTTTATTTGTTGTTTTTGTTTGTTTTTTTTGTTTTTTGTTTGTTTGGTTTTGGGTTTTTTTTTTTTGGGGGGGGGGGGGGAGGGTATGCAGCTTCATAATTCGGCACAATATTTCAGATTTCAGTAACTAATATAAAATATACATTGGATGATATTTTTTTCTCTTGTTTTTTTTTCAGGGTTCACCTTCAGGTGTTACAACAATGCAGGCAACCTTGGATGACAAGACGAGACAGGAAATTAAAGCCTGTATGGATCTCCTTGATAAAAAAACAGATGTAAGTCATATCATAGTATACATACTGTGCAAAAACAATGGTTGTAGAAATACATGTTTCTGTTTTACCCATATTTGTGCTATATTGATATAAGATTAGCCCAGCTTTGAAATTGGATCAGTCTATTCAAAGTTTGAGGTATTTCATAAATTTAGCTATTGACAGTATAGAGCCTGGTCAGACTGCACTGATAGATGGTCTGAAGACAAAAACGTTAAATTTAAAACATGCATGTCCAGGTATTAAGATTGTCAAGTTATGAAATTTCATACAACTGTTTCTGATCTTGACATGGATTTAGAAATTTAGAATATTTTTCACATGGAAAAAGAAAAAAACCCAAACAAACAAACAAACAAACAAACAAACAAAAAAACCCAACAAACTATGCAGCATGTATACAAACGGTTAAAGGTTCTACTAAAGTACCCTTAAATAAGTCACAGACGTTCATTTTAAATAAGTGTAATCCGGAACTCGGCAAATGTGGGTTTTTCTGTGCTCATCCCCCGGTACAAACAATTTTTTACAGTTATAGCTTCACAGTGCTCTACCAGTCACAAAAGATAAGTCTACCTGTTGCACTTTCTTTCGAGGCTGTAACTGTAAAGATTTGTTTGTACCCCAGGATTAGCCATGTAGCTAGGAAACCCCCAAAATATTCTTTATATTGGAGTAAGTCTATTTCCCATAACGAATCAAAAGATGATAATTTATGGGACCAATCAAAAGATGAATGTTTATGGGAAAATAATAGTGGTGAATGTTTATGGGAAAATAATAGTGGTGACCCAGGTGCAACAATATATTGATACTCTTTGTACTGTTATATCAAAGTACTCTTGTACTGTTATATTTTATTTTGATATTTGAGTTCAATATATAATCACACATTCTGACTATTTCAAGCTATTCAACCTTGTTTATGTACAAACTCATTTTTTATATAAAAACTTAAATGTGTTAAAGAGTAACCTTTCAAACTTGTTAAAAGAAAAGTGTTTTTAGAGCTTTGATATTTTGAAAATAAACAAAATCTTTAGTTTATAAAGTTTCTCATAAAAATCAATGTATTGCAAAATGTGTTGACTGCATGACAATATATCTAAATTCAGGTTTGACTGTATCACAATATATCTAAATTCAGGTTTGACTGTATCACAATATATCTAAATTCAGGTTTGACTGTATCACAATATATCCAAATACAGGTTTAACTATCCCGATATGTATTTGACTGTATCCTTATACAGGTTTGACTGTATTGCAATATATTCCAATATAAGTTTGACTGTATCCTGCACACATACTGTATAAGTGGATATTTCCACGTGTCTAAGAGTTGGTGATTTAAAATTTCCAGACATTTCATGCGAGGAAATATTAGCGAATCATGTAAGGGTAGCATTTAATGACAGGTTGGTTGGTATTTAGGCTAGAGAAAATTTTTGGATTTTCATCCCAAATTTTCTAAATTCGCCCAAATTTTTCCGTTTCGCTTAAATTTTTCACTTAAAAAAGCCCGTAAAAAAAAGTTTTTTCAGGGTGAAAAATAACAATGTGTGTTGTGTTTTATTTTAAAGGGGGACAAAAAATTTTCGTTTTTATGCACTTTAAAAAAGGGAGAAATTTGTGATAGACTACCAAAACCAAGATAAAATTTCAGGTTTGTATATCTTATATATCCTATAAAATAACATGGAGGAGAATATGATTTCCACACCCCTCACACAGTCCATCAAATATTTCAAAACAATCACTGAATTTTAACTTTCAATATGTTGTGAAATAAAATTTTATGAAGTTAGTTTATTCTATCAAATCTTTTTTTATCAAATCATTGAAGCATTTGTCATTTTGAAATTGATTTGGGTCTTTATACATGTTATACATAAAATACTATTGTAGATTTGAGAAACTTACTGCGTCAGTCAAGTGTAAAAACACCTTGCCCCTCCCACACACACACATGGAAATAGTGTAAACTTGGCAAATTTAATAGGGAGAAACTGTTGATTCTTCTTTCTAGTGGGTTGGATCCTTGGGAAGCAACAAACTTTTCATTTAAATATATTACAATGAATGAAAAATAATTAGTAGTATTTTTGTCAGTACACGACAGTGTAAAGGTTATTTATACAAACATTATGATTATTTTTCTGATAAGACTTGACATATTTGTTATATAATGATAAATTTGACATATTTATAATCCTTTATAACATGTTTCTAAAATTTTATATGACATTATTTACAGCAAACCTTGCCCACATTCAGCAACAACCACAGAGTGCCAATCGTACAGAATTGGAGACAAAGTTCAAACAAGAAAAAGAAGAAATGGACAGGCAGCTTCTGTCTGCTGCTCAACAAATTCTACAACAAAGACTGGTGCGTCTGTTGTTTAATTGTTGTTTTTGTTTTTCAGCATTTTCATCAATTCCTGTCATTCAATAGACATTATGTAAAGAAGCGATTATTTAAATAGGCCCTCTAGGCTGATCGGATAACCTTAGGTTTATGACTTAAAATGACTCTTCTAAATTGCTCTTAGTTTGAATCCAGCCAGTTACTTAAAATTTCATATGCACAGATTAAAAAATTACTTGTTAAAGAAATAAACTCTGAGAATAAAACATGTCTTGTGTATTAGGCATTAAAACAAACATAGAAATAATAGGCTGAAAAAATCTGTGAAATACATCTAACGCAGTGATTTGATAATGTATTGTATGTTTTTCAGTCTTTAGCAAGCAAACATAACGACACATTGGGAATGCTGGATAAGTTGACAAAGCGTGTTGTTGATGATGAATTGATTGCCTGGACACAGAAACAAAAGTTGGCACTGAATGGAGCACCATTTGACACTTCCATGATTGATGTGCTTCAGAAATGGTAAATAACAAATGAGCCGCGTCATTACAAAACCAACGTAATGCGTTTGCGACCAGCATGGATTCAGACCAGCCTGCGCATCCGCGCAGTCTGATCAGGATCCATGCTGTTCGCTATCTGTTTCTCTATTCGTAATAGAGTTGGTAAGCGAACAGCATGTATCCTGATCAGACTGCGCGGATACGCAGGCTGGCCTGGATCCATGCTGGTCACAAACCCATTATGTTGGTTTTGTCATGGCGCGGCTCAAATAGTCTTTTGATTTCAGAAATAATTTAACACCAACAGTGATTTTATAGCTAAATAAAATCACTGTTTGGCGTTCGGATCAGAGAAATAATATCACAAGGGCGTAGCCTGGGTGATAATGATGCTCATGTGAACGACAAACAGTGTTTTTATTTAGCTGTAAAATCGCTGCTTTTGATATATATTTCAAATTCTAACACAGCATCAACAAAAAATGCTGCGGTAATTGATATCAAGCTAAATTGTAGCTGATTTGTTTTTGTACTAATAAATGTCATTGTGTCAACATTGATTTTATAGTATATTACACACACAATCAATAGGGACATATGAGAGTCATGTTAGAATTAAGATATAGTTGCAGGTGTTAGTAGTAGGAAAAGTTGTGGGAACACATATTGGTCAGCAGCCCTCAGAAGATAAATAGTATTACCATACTTTCTTATTGAGAGCTACTACCCCTTAATCCCTGCCTTTTTACATGTTTGTTTTCTTAAACTGCAACAGAATTCAGAGTAACACTTACAAACAGAATGAATTGCATGCACAATCATTTAGTTTTAGGGATCAGCTAAACTAGATTCTATTCAAGTTGTGTTATGCCTTATTCTCATCGATTCGATACTTTTCGTGGATTAGATACGTCATGTAACCCCCGTTCACACAGAGCTGCGACTTTAGGACGATCATGCCGATCAATCCACGATCTGAAAAGGTATTGGATCGGGGCCAATTGGGGTCGATCGGCGTCGAAATCGAACAATTTGGCAAATTTTGGTCTTCCTTACAACTGTACTACGATGTTCCCACGTCAAACGCGCTGCTGACATGCTTCTACTTCGATGATACGCTGACCGATGCCGACCAGCGGCGGCGTTTACTGCGTTTATACTACGCTGCCGCTACGACATTCAAACTCGCTCATGACGCTACGCAGACATAGAAGACTGTACAACGATATCGCTACGACGGTGCCAATCATATAACGCTTGTAGTACGCCTCTTGGACGATTTTGGCGATGATATATATATATCTTGGGTTTCAAAAATTACTTTTCATTTACTTCCAAACTTCAAACATGAACGGACGTATTAATGCTGATCTGATTCATCTGGCTTTACTTCAGCAAAAACAAATATTGGTTGAAATTGTAATTGCACAGATTGTTAACAGGCGGAGGCGCAGAAGGAGGCCAAGAAGATACTGGGTACGGACATGGCTATCTGCAGAAAGGAGACTCCAGTTTAGACAATTATGATACACTGCTGAGAGAACTCCGAATGGAAGACACCACTTCCTCAGATTATGATTGGTCAAATAGCAGCGCTATTAAAACAAACTGCTACCTGACAGGTCGTGGTAAGGTCATGGTAGGTTTTCGTAGGATCGTCATGAACGTAGAGAGATCGTAGTGGGAACGTAGTAAGAACATAGTGGGAACGATGTATAAGCGTACTCGGTATGTTCCCGACTGTACTACGCTTTTACTGCGCCTTTAATACGCCCTTGAAGAACTATCCACGATGCTTCCGCGCTGCTTGTACGATTACGGCGCTTCTACCACGCTCTTTTTACGACTTTACCCCGATTCTTGTTGGACACGATCCCGCTACGATTGTTTTGACCACGTTCAAAACAAACGTGGCGAGAGCGTAGAGCTTTCCGATCATGAAGACGCTACCGCGATCATACTGCGCTTATGTAGACTCCACTACGTTTCTCCTACGATTTGCCACGTTTTCGGCCACGTTTTCGGCCACGCTTAGATCGTAGTAGAAGCAGCGCCTATGTGTGAACGGGGGATTACCGTACCGAATACGAGCTCGTGACGCCATCATAAAAAACATTGCTGTCTTAAGTTTGGCAGTGATTTTATACTTGACACCCTCATTAAAAAACATTGCTGTCTTAAGTTTTGGCAGTGATTTTATACTGACACCCTCATTAAAAAACATTGTTGTCTTAAGTTTTGGCAGTGATTTGCTGGAACAATATTACTGAACCACAAGTTACATAAAATAAATACATGAATATATCCTAAAAGTGCAGTTATGAATCAGAAATCAACATGAATGTACTATAAAATACCAGTTATGATTCAGATGGTAGGCAATTGTAAAATGGTATAGGAAATAGAAAGAAATATTTTAAGTTGCTTTGCAGACTTGTTTTTAGCTTGACTATTCAAAGAATAAGGAGAGATATTGTGCTCACAACAGTGTAATCATTGCTGTCATACTAAGAATTAGTTCTTGCATGCAATTTTGTATCTCTAAAATTAATGCAGAGAATGGGTTAAAACTTCACTCTGTGATTAACTAACATGATTGGCACAAGTCCCATAACTCTGAGGTACTTTTTTTACAGAGTTATACCCCTGACTTACTGGGAAGCACTGAGAATAGTGAAGCATGCTGTGTCTTGTTAATTTTGATTTTGGAAATGTCTATTAACAGTGCTAGTGAATTTAATGTAAAAATATTATAATTGAATAACAAGCAATATAGATTTGGTCAAATTTCATGGCATGGCTTCATTTTGGTGGCGTAGGCATGTTTAATGTTAAATTTTTTTTATAAAAGTTATAGTTAAGAAAGTAGTGGTTTATCATTTTTTCTCCCTATAACTGTTACAGGTGTGAAGTGTTAGCAGACCTTATCTGGCGTAACAGAATGCAGATAATTAAAGTAGATTTATTACGACAGCAATTACCAATAGACATTCCTCAAGGTCAAACCGACCTTCAACCAGATCTTAACCATATCGTAACTGGTCTACTCTCCAGCCTTGTTACCAGGTATGCGTTGTTTCTGTTGAGCTTTAATATCATACTAATCATTTGATATCAATTTTAGACTGAATCGTTAAATTTAACTGCATATTTCCTTCTTTATACGGCTCATCCACCGAAATGACAACTAGACAAACCTGTAATGCAGATTGTATTTGAAGCTTATGTTGATTATAGTGTGTTTGAATACTGACAGGGGGTGTCCATGGCCGAGTGGTTAACGTCATTGACTTAAACCACTAACCCCTCACTGCTGTTGGTTTAAACAGGGACTTTGGATTCTTTCATTGAGGAAGCTATACAACAATCTTATGGGACGTCGGTGGTTCTACTCAGGTGCTTGCCTGTGCCTGAAATAATGTATGGAAGAGTTCCTTAGGTCTGCTTCCACCAGTTAAGCTGGAAAGTCGCCATATGACCTATACTATGTTGATGGGATGTAAAACCAACCTAAAAAAAACCCGGAAAAAACAACAATACTTACTGAGGATCAATAACATGATTTCAATATGTGAAGCCAATAGCTGATTTTTATAGGTGAAAAAATATATGTGAGAGAATTCAAATTTTTTAGATGATTTTATGAATTAAGGTCTGTTTATTTTCAGGGGAGTTTAGAACCTGTAACTTAAAGATATTCTGAAGTCACATTTTGACCAAAAAGATAGGTTGATTCGATTTAAATATGCTTTTATTTATTTTCATGAAATAAAGGAATGATGTACTATTTTTCTGTTTCAGTACATTTATAGTAGAGCAGCAGCCTCCTCAAGTTTTGAAGAAAGACTCAAGGTTTACAGCAACTGTACGACTGTTGGTAGGTGGTAAACTCAATCTTCAACTCACTCCACCGAGAGTTACAGCTACAATTATCAGGTTTGTCTTCATAGTCCGGTATTGTTAGAAATATTTTTACCCCTCATGGTCAAGTTTATGAATATTGCTTAAATTACCATAGTTTTGTTATGAATGGACAAGTATGTTTCTAAAACCAAAAGAAAATAAGTGTTGCCCCAGTCTGATGGGCGCTTTTGTTAAAGGGAGTTTTTTTGACAAAAAATTTTAAATAAGATACGATGAGACTCATTTGAAATGAAAAAAAAGGGTTATTTTAATGATAACGTTTGTTTTGCAATTTTTAAAATATAGGAGGATGAAAAAAAGATTAAACTTTTAAAATTATTCAAAAAACAACAAACAACAAAAACAAAAATAAACAGTTATGCTATGTAAAACCTTCCTTCCCTTATAGTATATCTCAAGAATTTAAACAATGTAGAGGCTAAGAAGTAAAATAACGTTGGCATTAAGGAATTTCATGCTTTAAAAATATGCAACTTAAAGGATGACTTCAACAAAATAAAGGAAAAAAAAACAACAACAAAAAATATTTATGTTTTGTAATTCCCGCCTTTCCCTATAGAATATTCTTTATAAGGATCCATGCTGTTTGCTTACCAACCCTATTAAAGGTAGAAAACTGATAGCGAACAGCATGGATCCTGATCAGACTGTGCGGATGCTCATTTTTGTTCCTCAGTGAGCAGCAGGCAAGAACATTCTTACAGAACGAGGACAGAAGGCAGCATCAGAAATGTGGAAATATTTTAAACAATGAAGGTCTCATGGACTATCACCAGCATTCTGGACAACTGAGTATCACATTTAGAAATATGGTAAATATAAGTTACTAGTTTGAACTTTTTGTTGAAAATATTGTACCATTTAACTTATTGCATTTTTTTGTTGGGACAAATGGCCATCTTTACTGGTGGGGGAAGGGGCAGTAATGCCCAGTAGTACATTTTAAGACTGGAGGATAAATGCCCTGGCTTCACCTCAGGCCTTTATCTTTATTCAAGGCCCAGGTAAGGCCCTGTGCTTTAGAGGCTGACAATACACCCTGACTGTATGGTAAAGGCAAAGGACCTCAAATCGCCTCTCCACTGATATACAATCATGACAGTAAATTTTGAGGGTTGACTGCAAAACTGCAGTAATTTATATGAGATAAAGAAGTACTTACAGTTTTGCGTTAACCCTCAAATTGAATCCTTTCATGGTAGAGAGCTGTCCTACTAGGTTAAGTTTTGATCGATAGTTCTTCCAAGGTACCCCTTGTGCCTGAGGAAATAAACATAGAATATGAAATTAAAAGCAGGAATGTCTATGATCACCTTCACAAAAAGAATGTCACTTTCAACACCAACAAAAAGCACAATAACCAGATAATAGTCTATTACAGCTTCTACTTCTATTGCCAATGCCAAACCAAATTTGTTCCTTTAAAGTTTTCAGTGTCCTTGATTTCTTTTTTAATTTTATTTTGTTCTTTAAATATTTATGGATTGTTTTTTTTCAAAATGAATGTTTCCAATACTTTGACTTGATTACTCTGACTTGCAGACCCAGACAATTTAAAGAATTAGATATTTGATAATACTATTTACAATTAATTACAGCAATTGAAGAATATCAAGCGTGCAGATAGAAGAGGGGCGGAGGGACATGCAAGTATTAGTTTCATGATTTATTCTCTAATCTTAACATGTCTTAATGTAATAAATAATAATTTTCTGACAATGTCCCCCCCCCGGAGAGAAAAAAAGAAGAAAAGAAAAGAATTGAAATTTATTGTTCAAAACATAGTGCTTACAATTAATACAGTACTTCTAATGGCTTTAGAAATGCCTTGTTACGGATTTTATTACATTGTTAAATACATTAAACTGGTTTAACTGAGGGAGGAAATATGTTTTATTTTATCCCTTAACATTCTGAAATTATATTTAAGTTTAACTACTAGCATAGAGCCAGGTCAACCTCCACGCCCTTGCATTGTGACATGGCTCTTTTGCCCCAGTAGGTTCGAATTCCCTCTAGGGACTTACGATTCTTTCATGTGAGGAAGCTTTACAGCTAGCTTACGGAATATCTGTGGTGGTTCTACTCAGATGCCAGCTTTTGCCTGAAAATTGCATCATTTTGCATGGAGAGGCGCTGAGGTCTTCCTGCACCAGTAAATCTGGAATGTCGCCAAATGACCTATACTGTGTTGGTGTGACATTAAACCCAACCAAAACAGTAAGATGACTGACTATCATATACCACTAGTATACAACCAGTATTCAGCCACATACCATGCACACCAATGCTGTCTGACCAGACTGTATATTATTGATATAACAATTTTAGTATTTACAATAATGTTACCCTGTTTAATAATTTTGACAGTTTGACAGAACCTGGACAAACCCAAACAACATATCCAGCAATTATATAAATATTTTACTAGATTCGAGATTGCTAAACTTTTGATTTGATTATTATGTTTTTATTTTTAATTTAAACAGACAGTAGCAGAGGAGAAATTTTGTATCTATTTTTCATCGGACTTTAATGTTGGTGGTAACGAGTTAAAGTTTCAGGTCTGGGTGAGTTTTGTTATGTGCTTCTAGCTTTATCTCAAGATTTCTTGCATATATGTTACCATCTGGTATAGCTTTGAAGCGGTGACTGGTGGAGTATTTTCTTTTTTGCACATGTCCAAATTGTGTTTTAATTATTGATTAAGTGTTTTGTCTAAAATGAATTGATAAAAACATAAAAGATTAGAAAAACAAAACTAATGAGCATTTGTTAGGTAGTGATAAACACAACATAAGGTAAATATTTAGGAACTAATGTTTCAGAACATAGATTGATTGAAATTATCCGTTCAATATTTAATTCAGTTATGTTAGAAATGTCCATAATATTTTTAAATAGAATGTTTTAAGACAAAATATTCTTAAAGCCATAAATCCTGTACTTTATCCTGTTGTGTTGATTGGTCGTAAAGCTTTAAGTCATATACTTTATCCCTTTGTGTTGAGTGTCATTGAAAGCATAAATCTTAGACATTATTCCTTTGGAAACCCATCAATCCCATGCCTTATTCCTTTGTAAAGCCATAAATTCTATACCTTATTCCTTTGTAAAGCCATAAGTCCCATGCCTTATTCCTTTGAAAAACATAAATCCCATGCCTTATTCCTTTGTTAACCCATATATCTCATACCTTATACCTTTGTTAAACCATAAATCCCATACCTTATTCCTTTGTAAGCCATAAAACCCATTCCTTATTTCTTTGTAAAGCCATAAATACCATACCTTATTCCTTTGTTAAGCCATAAATCTATGCCTTATTCATTTATTAAGCTATAAACACTATTCCTTATTCCTTTGTAAAGCCATAAATACCATATCTTATTCCTTTGTTAAGCCATAAATCCCATGCCTTATTCATTTATTAAGCTATAAATGACATTCCTTATTCCTTTGTAAAGCCATAAATACCATACATATTTGCTTTGTTAAGCCATAAATCCCATACCTTATTCATTTATTAAGCCATAAACACCATTCCTATGTAAAGCCATAAATCCTATACATTATTCCTTTGTAAAGCCATAAATCCCATTTTTTTACCTGTTGATAGAAAGGAAATAGGCAGCTACAAAGTAATAAGCAAAATTCTATAAAAAAGCACCTAAATCCTCTGAAGTGATTATTATTTTCCTATGAAGAAAGGCCAAATAGGTATGATTTAATAGTTTAATAATGGATTTAGAACATATTAAATGTTTATCACATAAAGGTGGCAGCATTGAATCTGAAATAATTTACAATAAAATAAAAAAAATTAAAATGAAAATAGGCCTTTAGATTTGATAAATAAGACCCGATTTTGGATATTTTGATTCTGAGAAATCTATGACTTCTATGGGTCAAACTTGAAATGAAAAAGTGTAAAATATATCTCTAGAAAAAATAACATTTAAACTTAAAAAAAGAAGAAGATAAATTGCTGTAGAAAAATGTGCACCTAAAGATGTTTTAATGTTTTTTCACCCATTAACTAGTGAAACATTTTATTATATCTCTCCAGTTCATGTCATATAAATCCTCATGAGTGTTGATATGTTAGTGAATTAAGTACAATTTTATACTATTTAATATTTGATATGGAAGCTGAGGAAGTTTGCCGACTTATGAATTTACAGATGACCTCTATTAGAATTAGAGTGAAATAGTTTTACTATTAATTTTTAAAGAAATCATTAAAATATTAGCAAAAGCATATTAAATTTATTATATTTAATAAAGGTGAAGAAGACACTTAAGAGCCGAAATATTAGTTATCAGCATTAAAAAATCCTTAAAACTTATCTTGTGTTGATTGTCTGTTCAACATAATTCATTTTCTTTAAAAGAATAATAAAAGATTTTTTTAAAAAGTAGATATTTTTCTTTCGGTCTCTGGTAGGATCTGAACTCAATTTTCAAGGATTTTTTTTCCCCACAGACCCTGTCATTGCCAGTAGTGGTCACTGTACATGGGAACCAGGAATGCCAGGCTACAGCAACTTATCTTTGGGACAACCAGTTCTCAGAACCAGTGAGTTTATTCTTTGTTTTATTTATTTGTAATAATTACCAACTTATTATTGTTTTTTTTTTCCAGCTGTTAAAATGATAAAACTGCAACGCTTTAAGAATTGTGAAAGCTAGCCAACAATTGGCAGTTTGAAAGGTCACAAGTAGTTGACCTCCTATTGTTATCGTCAGGTGTAGCATTAATGTGCAGCATTAATTAGGAGCTGATTTTTATCAGATTGCAGATGAAGGCAAACAAATTATTTCATGTTCATTTGTCATACTGTCCATCTGATGAAACAAATTGCATGATTAAAGGTATTTGCTTATTATTATTCAGTTCAGTTTACCCTTTGTCTCTTAGCAGCAACTGATTCTTTTGATTCAACTAGTGCAAACCACAATCAGCTGGTATATCTGTGCCTTCATGGTCTGCACTGTTTGTTATTCAGCCTGTAAATGATGTATTGAAAGTTTTACCTTTAAATGAATGGCTTTGTTAAGATTGTAAAATTGTACATGTCTGTTTAATATATATGTATGAAGCATGTAAAGGGCTAAATTTATTATAAAGTTTGAGTTTTAATGAGAATTTTGAAGGAGGTTCTTTAAGGGTTTTTGTTGTATCTTTTTTTTTTATTTTCCTTTAGTTTTACATGTCAATCATATATATATTCTACAACTTGGATCTTTGAATTCTGTCATATGAGCAAATTTTCAAGTTAGTTTGATATGTGGAGGTTTGTGAAACAATGAAATATTGCTTGAAGTGATATAAAGACTAACCTGTTAACAAAGGTCATGTAAGGGAAAGACAGAGCATGGCTTTTATAGACATGTTGGCTTTATTTTCATGTGACTGTTTGTTTAATTAATGAAGGAGGAAGTGTCGAAAAATGGCCTTTATTTACAGGATGATCATTTTTTTGAGGTGATCTTTGGTTTGACTGTATCCAGTTCCTCTCTTCTACTTTAGCCTTGAAATTTGACAAATCCTCATAAAAATGTTGATTTTGCATAAATTTTACTAAAACTAAAGATATTCTTTATATACATGTTTTGAGCTAAAAATGATGAACACTATTTGCTATACATTTCTTTCTTTCAGGCAAGAATACCCTTTCAAGTGCCGGACAAAGTTCCTTGGTCAGAGGTGGCTAAAATGCTGTCTACAAAGTTCTGCGCAATGACTGGACGAGGTCTTAGTGACATTAATCTTAAATACCTGGGCAATAAATTGTTTGGTATGAGTGGAACTGTAGACTTTAGCAGTGCTGTTGTCTCCTGGACTCAGTTTTACAAGGCAAATAAATATTAGCAGGATTTAAATTAATTTAACAAAGAGGAACAAATGCTCTCGTTTAAATACACAGATAGATTGAAAAAAAAAATAACTTTTGTACCTTTTTATTAATGAACAAAAAATCATTACTTTCAAAGTTTGTTACAGCAAACTACCATAGATTAACCTTTCCCTACTTAATTTGTAAAGATGCTTTTCACATAGCAATAATTACCTCCCCTGGCTGCCATTTTCATATGCTTAAGATACATGTAAGATAAAAATCTTTAATTGTTATATCATCTTCATGAAAACTGTTAAAAATCTTTTACATACTGGTGCTGTAATTATGTTTTGGTGCATTTATATAAAATAATTTGACATTGCATGTAAATCATATTAAATTATATTTTGCCATTAATATTATATAGAATATTGACCCCCGAAATGGCTGCCACTTTTTGGCAAGGGAGGTAAATATTGTAATAATCAGGATTTGTCTTTAATATTCAGTACTTATTTAATTTTATATTTAGAACTAGCTGATGGTAAAAATGGCTGTTTCTATAATTTGAGGTAAACCAAGCTTATTAATAAGAGACAGCCATTAAATCTTACATATTCAAATAAAAGAATGCAGGCCCCTAAATTTACCAAATCTGCAGCAAATATCTAACAGAAAATCTAACAGAAAAAATAAAAAGTGATGTTTTTTTTTTTTGACAAGTATAATTTGATCTGTTTCACGACTTTTTTTGCCAGCGTAATATTGTATGTCTTTACCATTTTCTATATCACATACTTCAACAGCGTTTTTTCCCTACTTTGGGAATGGTGCTGGTACCAGACTGATTGGAAAAAATGCGTTATTTTGACTTAAATTTGGAATTTATTTATGCATTTTTTCAGCTACAAATAAGATAAGTCATCACGAATAAAGATAGCTTTCGTAGAATAAAAATTAAAAGATAAAACATCTGGTAACAAAGTGATCCCTTAGAAGCATTAATTAATCACAACAAAATTATATAATAATTGCAGACTCGGTTTGATTGAGTTTGTACATGAGGGATAATGAATAAGTGCAACATTCCTAACGGCCCCTAGCACCGGCTTGAGCGGTACACATAAGTTGTTTTCATTTTAAATTAATTGAGCGGTACTCAATTCTCAACACTTAATTGATTTTGGAAGGACCAGAAAAATATAACAACACTGAAGTGAAATGAAATAAAGTCACATTGCATGTGTGTACATGTACAAGATTTATGCACAACTTGTCATGAGAAATTGAAGCTAATGAAAACATTGAATCTTTCAAATTCAATGAAAGATTTGATCATATTACGTAAAAGAGGAAATTATATGAAAATCTATATTGGTAAGTCTATATTTTTATATATGTTTATAAACATGTATTTTACAGGAAAATTTACCAGGAAGAAATTTTACATTTTGGCAGTGGTTCTGGTCAGTGGGCAAACTGGTAAAGGAACATTTAAAGGAGCCGTGGACAGATGGGTATGTATCGTTAGATTGTAGGCATAGATAATCCTGCTTTATGGTTATACATCAGATAATGGGGAAAACATTTTTGTAGTGTGCAGTATTAGGGAGTAGTTGGGCAACATGTGTTATGATATACTTGGTGCCTCTGTTGCCAAGTGGTTAAGACCGTTGACTTTTCCTACTGGTCTCAAATTGGTTCGGATCCAAGTAGGTACTTGTTCAGTATCCTGTACAAAATCTTTCCCTCCTATTCAGTCAATAGATCTGTAGACATTTTTTAACAAAAATAATGAACAGATTAGTTCAGTTTGCCCGATAGTCAAGTCAATTTTTACGTATATTTAGCATGGTAACGGTTATTGCTTGGTGCGTAACCTTATATTGAGGGTTGACCGCAAAACTGCGGTAATTTATATGAAGTAAAGAAAGACTTACAACAGATTTGCGTTCAACCCTCGAAATTTCAATTATTTATGAAAAAATTTGTAACTGTGAGTATGAAATCACCAATTGTACGGGATGTTTAAGTTACTGTTAGGTTTTGTTGACCGGAAGGAATCTGAAGACCTGATATCACAGAGTTCTAGGGGTACTTTCCTCCTTCGGTTCAGTGAATCAGAGCTAGGGGGTATAACTGTTGCCTGGGTAGTTGACAGGAAAAACTGTACCCCCGCTGATAAATGGATGATGGGTAATACAGCATCTAACATGTCGTGAAGTGTTTACATTATGTGTGGTGTGATGATTAAACAAAACAATTCTCAATCTGTACTCATTGTTGCACTGTGTAGAAGTATTTGTTTCAAATGTCAATGTGGGTCAAGATTATCAGCATGCACTTCTGAGATTTGTTATCATTTAGATGACTAGAAGAATATTCTTTGTATAGTTTCGTTGTGTGATTTCAGTCTGCATTTTTACAATACTTGAAAAGCAGACAAAATATAATGCAAAGTACTTCTTTGGCAGGTTGTTACTGACAAGGTGGTTTTCTGGAGTTTTTGAGAGACTCCCAAAGATTTTTTAGTAAAACCTCATGGAGGTTTTAATTTAGTAAAACATGGAGGTTTTAAAAAAATCGGTTCAAGTTTTGTGTTTTAACTTTTATTCTAATTTTGTTTTATTGTAACACGGTAACACTAGTTACAACTAGCTATAATTGTTTCATTAACATAGATGCATTTGCTGATGAAAACTATTAAGAAAGAATTCTCTCCCCCCCCCCAAAAAAAAAACCACCGTTATTTGGTTACACTATAATTTTGACACTGTTACACAGGTAAATGGGTAAATGGGTAATTGGTTACTGTTTTTCTATTAGATTTCATTTATGCTTCAATACTAAACTTCCTTACTATTTTAGGTCAATAATAGGGTTCATGGACAGAACTGAGTCTAGAGATCATTTGTTGTCCCGACCTAATGGAACATTTTTATTACGGTTCAGCGATGGGACGAAAGGAGGAATTACGATAGTGTGGGTAGCTGATCAGCAAGATAAACCCGGTATGATAACATGATAAATATATATATGCCGATATACCGTGCCGTTTCCAAAAACAATGATTTAATGTATAATATAAAAAGTATAATAAAAACTGTTATTAGAACAGCCCTATAAATGTCTAATTCTTCAACATTGATCTACTTTGATTGTACTTTCCATGCTGAAGTTATGAAAATGTCACTTCTCTATTTAAGAAGAAAAAAATGTTCACTTATTTATTGTATTAATATGATGTTTATAATGTACATATTTATGTTGTCTAATTGTTGATTGTGATTGTATTTTATGTTGTTTTGTATATACTGAGGCCCGCATGGAAGATCGGGAAACTGAATGTGTTAGCTTCATTAAATAAAGTTATTACTTACTTACTTACTATGCTCATCTTTTGGTTAAATACTTTTATTGCAGAAATTTATTAAAATCTATCTAGGAAATTTATCTAATTTGAATGAAAGAATGCATAAACTATGTTTGTGAAGCTGCATCCAAATTCCCTGTTACAAAGGTCAATAAATTTGATTTTTTTAAATGCCATTTTCTTTTTAACAACACTGTAGTCGTATTATGTTTACCTATAATTCAGTGAGTTTAAAACGTATCTTCTCTGAGTATATTTCAAGGAAGGTTATTTTACATTTAATAAGAGACTGTTTAGCAACTTTCAGTATTTTCAAGTATCAAATTTGAGCATAATATATCTCTAACAGAATATTGTAAATATTTGTCTTAACAATTTAAAGTTTTTTTTGTACATATGAAAGAAACTTCAAAATCTCTTTTGATTGTAGAATCACTAGGACATTTGAAAGTTATAAGCGTTAAGATTTTTTATGGAAAATTAAAAATAGTTGTATACTATGTTGTTAAGTGAACAACTATGGTAATTTAACTTAATATTAATTAAAATAACCTATAATATGATTGTATTGTTTAAATATGCATAAAACAGTGAAATTTTGTTGTTTTCATAATCTTATCGCTGATTCTCGAAAAACTTGTAACATAAAGTAGCTATGTTATTTAACACTTATGAATATTGTAAGTTAAAAGAATAAAATGTTATGGAACAAAATGTTAGGCTGCTATTTGAGATAGACATTTTACTTTTTAGCCATGCTTTTTTGCTAGAGCTGCTTTCATACAGGTGTTTAGAAAGTTTTTTTTCAAAATGCTATTAATTTTTGCAGCAGAAATATAGCATTATACTATTAGCTTTTGATTAACATTGAGATTTTGAAGAGTTGCTTTTTACATATCTGGCATGCACTAAACAGCATCTATTTATAAATATTTTCAATACCAAGAATTAAAATGGTTAGTGTTGCTGATTATACAATGTATCTAAATTCAACCTATGGAATTTTTAATGATAAATGGGTACTTTTTCTTTTTTTATGGTTCCAAAAAATGCTACGTCTATTCTATTCTCTACAAGTTTTATTATAATTTTTTACAGTTAAAGTAAAGATATACACGGTATATTGAAAAATCATTTCATGAAAATATTAAGCATCTGTTACAGAAAGATTTATTACTATAGATGCGAAGTCACCATTTCATTCTGTTTTATCAAAAGAGCTCAAAAGATTTACATTCTGTTGGGCTCCAGTTAAAACTTTGTCAATGTCAAGACTGAGGCAAAATAAAGACTTGCCATTCATATTAAAATTTCTAAATTTTGTTAATTTACAAACTAAGTATTTTTTTATTATATATTTTAATACTTACACAATTTCCTGGTTGTTACTATCAATAACAGCTGATTCAAGGTCATATTTGATCACTCATATACATTTATTTATTTTTATGAAATGTATTTCCTTGAAGGTGAAAGAATGGTATGGAATCTGGCACCATTTACAAGCAAAGACTTTACAATCCGTGGTCTGGCAGATCGTATAAAGGATTTGACTTCCCTAGTTACCCTGTATCCAGATATTCCCAAAGACAACGCCTTTCAGAAATATTACTCTCCACCTACTGCAGGTAATCCCTTGACTTCTGTAAAATATTTCATGAAAATTCTAAGGAAACATTTCTTAAAATTGGTAAAAAGATAATAATTTGCCTCTCAGCACAGTGGGTAAAAATCCAACAGGAACTTTAGGTTCTTGGAAGTGAGGGAGCTAGCTAGCTTACAGAAAGATGGTTGTTTTACTGAGGTAACCAGTCATGTCTTAAGTAATGTCTTTACTGCTCAAACCAATTTATATGAAACTTGACAGGAATGACAGAATAATAAAAATCTTCTTGCATAATGAAATCTCAGGTGATGGTGGGAGAGGTTGGTGGGGGTGGGGGATTATTGGTATGATATAATGCTTGCCATAATTATTGCTGAGATCCCAACCAAATAGGTTAACTGTTATAGTAACAACTTTGTCTTTTAATTTTTTTATACAAACTTTTATTTATTACAGACTTGGCACCCAATTTGGTGCCAGGGGGTTATGTGAAAACAACCTTGATCACCACGATTGATGGTCAGCTGTGAGTATTATATTTTCTATATATTTTGTTCAAATCTAGTATCTTATTTTAGGAAAAGGCATGCATTATGTTGTCTCATTTGGAGGGCAAATGGGAAGGTTGATAAATTGTTCATTTTGACAATTTATACTAGTTACCCAAATGGTAGTGTTCTAAGTGTTGACATCTTGAAATGTTTGTGATTTTCTGAGTTCATAAAAACTGCAAACATATGAGCTAGGAAAAATTTTCAACAGCTTAAGTTCAGTAACAAAACAGATACTGCGAATTCACTTTTTATTCGTGGGCGTAAAATTTCGTGGTTTATCAAAACGGGCATTTTCGTGGGTTCTTAAATTCGTGGATTTTCAATTTCTTGTACAAAAATAAAATAAATTGCCTTATGCAAAGTAATCTTACACTTAATCGCCTCGCATTTTACTAACCCCATGTACATACATATCTTTAAGTATCACACAGCGCTTGTCAATAGATTTAATATTTGCCTCTGGGCATTCATTACACAAAAATTGTCGGAAAAGCGCCGTTGCATGTTTGTAATATATAGAGTAGAGACATGACAAGAAGTATTTGTTGGGATAAAATTTTGTTGGATCTTAAATTCGTGGATTGACCTACCCACGAAAACCACGAAAATTCGTGCCCCACGAATAATAATGATTTTACAGTATTGGAGAATATTTAACAATAGTAATTTTCACACTATTCAATCCTTGATACCTACAAATCATTGATATACCTAACTGATATCTCCTGTGTCAAGCAAAACATTATTCAAACATTACTCTGTGTACTCAATTTGTTGTTGCAACATGATAATTACTAATGTATCAAAAACAAATACAATGTTTTAACAGTATTTAATAATTGCCCCTGCCTTTCAATTTCAAGGTCATTCAGCAAACTAGTACAGATTTCAGTTTTCACATGCATGGTGAAAGTATGTGTAATACTTGTTCAACTAATATGAATATATTGCATGGATTGAAGTAGATTTTGTTTCAGAAAAAAAGGCAATTTGCCAACATTTTCACAAGGGAAAAACTTCAGAAATTGTGATTTTGGAACTTTTCGTATAGTGAAAATAGCCTATTATATAGTACAATTATTTGAGCTAAGTAAATCTGATATTTTCTGCAGGCCCACGGGAACAGGGATGAATGATTACCCACAAAGTCCCCAATATTCTGGACCAGGATCACCGCCGGTGTACCCTGCTCAAGCTATGACTCCACAAGGAGGTGCAACGTAAGTGTGCGACGTGCATTGAGGATGCAGCATTGTGTAGTCTACATGTAAGGGGTTAGATTTGCATGTTTATGTCAGTTGATGTCCTAGCAGTTTGCTTATATAGGCTTCAGTTTATGTCATAGTTTGCTTATATAGGCTTCAGTTTATGTCATAGTTTGCTTATTAAGGATCAGGCTTTCAGTGGTGTTTGATGTATCTTCTGATAGGGGTAACTGATTATTTGGTTTACTTAGAATGAGAAATTGTTTAATGGAGAATTTAGTTTTTTGGTGAGAGAAAATTAGGGTATCTTTGTCAAAGAAAAGGTTAATTGCTGGCTTTTCAACTTGAGTATTCGAAGGATAGGGAGAGCCATTGTGGGTTTCACGCTTTGCTATAGTTTTTGGTTGCAAATTGGTATCTCGATAATTACTGAAAGGAATGAGTTGAAACTCCACTTATTTCAGGACATATTAGGAGGTCATTGTCCAAGGCCCATTACTCATATACCGGTATCTGAATTTGATAAAATAATGGCCCTTTTTGAACTTACATATTCTAAATTATCCAGGATCTTGTTTGACTATCAAGCACTGAGAAGTACTGTGATATATGGACAACTCTTGCTTGGTTGAAATTATAATGGGTAAAGGATTTAAATTTGTACAAAAAACACATTATTTGACTCGAAAAGAATAATTTTCTAACTGCAAGAAGATTATCATATTTCAAAAACAATTTAAGATCTTCTCCATTCATTACAAGTTACGTTGACACATACAAGTATTTGTAATTGGTTATGGTTTTTTCCTTTTTCGCATGTAAATGTAAAGGTCTTTTAGGTTATTTTTTCCCCAGGTTATGGTGTTTTTTAAATTATGTATAAGTTCTTAGAAAATTATTTTCACTGCAATTTTCCTACGGTATTTAGGATTCTCCCCCCTCCTTTAAATATTATAATTATTAAAATCATCAAAAATTGGTTTCCAAAGCAAGTGATTTACTATCTAGCTTGCCAGAGGTCATTGCCGGTGTCTGGTGCATCTGGGGGGGGGGGGGGGGGGTATTTGAGGCCCTCTTGAAATAGCAAAAGTTGTGAAGTGACATTGGTATTGTCAGTATTACTTAAATCCTTAACATCAACTTGAATTAAACTTATGCAAGTTCTCTTCAGGTTGTTTTACTTTTCTCTACTTTCACACCTGTGCTTCATGAAAGAGTGAAACCAGTATAATATATAGTATAAAATCAGTTCTTTAGATTTGCCCCTAGATTAATTATTTCGTGAACATCATATTTTAGTCACTGTGCCTGCCATTCATAGTTTCCTACTTTCATAATATCTACCTGGAGTTTCTTTTTGAAACTTCATTTTTCAACTGTTAACTTTATACAAACTTTGTTTGTGAGGGTATATAGGAGTAAGCTTGTCAGTCCTTCTGTTATTAGAATCAAATTTATGGTTGCCAATGATAGATAATTAGACTTAAAAACAAGTATTGTAATTAATTTTAGTGTACAGCAAGCTCATATGCAGAGATTTGTTGGGAATCGGTTTGAGCCTCAAAGGGTCAAGGTCATTGTTACTAAAAACAGAGAAAAGGTTTTCAGTCATTAACTAGAGTTAAGGATGATCTATTGTAATACCAAATTTAGTATATAGCAAATTATTATGTGGAGACCTTGCTTTGAATTGTCTTTTTACCTCTTAGGGTCAGTGTCAATTTTACTAAGAATAAAAAAAAAAACGGTTTTCTGGTTGATAACTAAAATAAGGAACAAAATGGAGCAATGGATTGTAAGAATATTTTGTACCAATTGCCCTGGTACATACTTTCGGTTATTTGTGAGTTAGTCAATTTTGGAGAAATAATGGCCTTTGTTGTTTTTTCACATGTAAGTAAGAGAGGAATATTCTTCTCAATGTCTCAAACATTTCAAAAGGGACTTTAACAACTTATTATTGGTGAAATAACTGGTATGTGACAGGTCTTATGGGTTATTTTTTCTTCCTTTTATCATTGACACATGAATTCTATGAAGAATGGATCTGTATGAATGAATGATATTTATAAACAATGTTTAGCTTTGTTTAAATGTTATTGTTAATGTTTGCTATTGTATTTCTGTTGAAATATTAAATGTTCAAATGCAGGGTTTGTGATCCTTAAATTGTAATATATATTTCTCTAGTATCAATTTAGTTCATTAGTCCTGCTATACGAGACCATTTAAAGCTCCGCACTTTTTGAATGAAGCTATTGTCATGACCCATTCATTGGTGTCTGCTAGGTTGAACTTTTTGGTATTGTAATTTTTTGGCGATTAAGTATGGTAATAGTGCATTGACCTTAAAACTTCAGACTTTGTAGATGAACCATGATTAGTTTTACCTTCAACACCCATCTTAGGTCAAAAGTCAGAGAGTGACCTTATATTTAAATTATCTCTATGATTGTATAAATTGTTCAGATTATTTTCAAGTTTTGAGAGAAAAAAGGAGAAGGAGCTGCTGTTCAGACATCTGTTGTTAAATTTTAGTCGTCAAGTGCTTTTTAGCTCACCAGAACTGAAGGTTCAGGGTGGGCTATAAGTATCAAAGGGGGATGCTCCGTCGTCCGTCGTCATGCGTCATTAATCGATCGTCTTCTCCTCTGAAACTGCTGGGCAGATGAACTTCAAATTTGGTCTGTAGCATCCTTGTGACAATCACACTTGAATTTGCTCATGTCATTTCAATTGGTCCCTTGTAAGGGCCAACAGAGCAAAAATAGAAAAAAAAAACCTTTTAACCACTTCTTCTACAGAACTAAATGATGGATGATCACCAAACTTTGTCTGTAATATTGTGGGGTAGTCTCTTATCAATTTGCAAATATTAATTTGTTTGGCCCCTTTTAAGGGCCTCTAAAGCTAAAACTAGAAAAACCTTTAAAAATCTTCTACTACAGAACTAATTGATGGATGATCACAAAGCTTTGTCTGTAGCATTCTTGGGTAGTCTTTTATCAAGTTTGCTCATATTAATTTGATTGGCCCCTTTTAGGGGATACTAGGGCTAAAAATAGAAAAAAACTTTAAACGTCTTCTTCTACAGATCTAGAACTAATTGATATATGATCACCAATCTTTGTCTGTAGCATTCTTAGGTAGTATTTTATCAAGTTTGCTCATATTAATTTGATTGGCCCCTTTTAGGGTTCTCTTGGGCTAAAACAGAAAAACTTTTAAACGTCTCTTTCTACAGAACTAATTGATGAATGATCACCAAACTTTGTAATATTCTTTGGTAGACTTATATCAAGTTTGCTCATATTAATTTGATTGGCTCCTTTTAGGGGCCGCTTAAGCTGAAAATAGAAATACCTTAAAACATCTTTTTCTACAGAACTAATTGATGGATGATCAACAAACTTTGTCTGTAGTATTCTTTGGTAGTCTTATATCAAAATATGAGAAACGAGATCAACAAGGAAAGGCGTCGTTCAATGAACGCAACCCCCATATGACCCAGCAACAAGAACCAATGGCAAGGAGCCCAGGCGGACCCCAAACAAAAACAGGACAGGGCAAAGACAGAGCACGGACAGGTCAAACATTAAATGATAAATAATTTATAACTCATTAGGAATTCAAAGAAAATAATAGATGGCCCACAAAGGGGAAGGGGACAGGAGACCGGGGGAAGGGGGGGGGGGTTAATCAAAGAAATAAAAACTAGAGGCAATGGGGAAGTTACTTACCGTAGACGAGAAAACAACAAGGGACACAAGCAAAAGTGTCACCAAAACAGTATGAAACAACATAGACATACATCTGAGGAACAGAGTGGGGCGCCGCCTTTGAACGGTCAGCAGCATAATTATGACTGCTGGGGAGTTTAAACCGGTTAATGGTGCACCAAACCTCGCTCTTAGCCCCACCATGTTCCTATAAACGAGGCAGTGTAAATACAATGAATCCCCGCCATCAAGTTTGCTCATATTAATTTGATTGGCTCCTTTTAGGGGCCGCTTAAGCTGAAAATAGAAATACCTTTAAACATCTTTTTCTACAGAACTAATTGATGGATGATCAACAAACTTTGTCTGTAGTATTCTTGGGTAGTCTTTTATCAAGTTTGCTCACAATAATTTGATTGGCCCCTTTTAGTTGCTGCTAAAACTATAAATAGAAATACCTTTAAACGTCTCTTTCTACAGAACAAATTGATGGATGATCACCAAACTTTGTCTGAAGCATTATTGGGTAGCCTTATATCAAGTTTGCTCATATTATTTTATTTGCCCCTTTTAGGGGCAGCTTATGCTAAAAATAGAAATACCTTTAAACATATATTTCAACAGAACTAATTGATGGATAATCACCAAACTTTGTCGGTAGCATTCTTATGTAGTCTTTTATCAAGGTAATCTTTTATCAAGTTTGCCGCTAAAGCAAAAAATATATAAAAACCTTTAAACATCTTCTACAGAACTTATTGATGGATGATCACCAAACTTTGTCTGTAGCATTCTTGGGTAGTCTGATATCAAGTTTGCTCATATTAATTTGAGTAGCCCCTTCAAGGGTCCACTGAAGCATCACTTCCTACAGAAATAATTGATAGATTCTTAGGTAGTCTTTTATCAAGTTTGCTCATATTAATTTGATTTGCCCTGTTTAAGCTAAAGCTTAAATGCCCCAGGTCATGGCATTTCTTCAGATTATCGTTTAAACATATTCTATGCTCAAATTTAATATTAGTAAATGTTGACATTGTATAATTTTCAACACTGAAAAGCAGTTGTTTCTTGTGAGCGACTCAGGGCCATCAGGGCCCTTTTGTTTTTTTTGTGCCCACCCCCACTAGGGGGTATTTAGATTTACCCTTGTCCGTCTGTCCGTTCTCTTTTTGTGTCGCACATAGTTCAAAAAGTAATTTACCTAGAGTCATGAAACCTTACAGGAATGTTGATCAGCGTGTGTAGTGGTGCACCCGGGTATTTTCATATGGATATATCTAGTATTTTTAGAGT